CTCCGTGTCCCCCTCCTCCTCCTCCCCGGCCTCCTCCATCCCCATGCGCATACCACAAGCCTCTACCCCGCAACCCATCACCGAGAGCCTCATCTCAGTGCCCCTTCCCCTCCTCTTCCTCCTCCCCCACCTCCTCGTCGCCCCCCTTCTCCCCCTCCTGCCCCGCTTCACCTCGCCCTCTTCGATGCTTATCCCCCCCATTTTCCGCCTCACCCCCCATCCTTCTCTCCCCGTCCTCCTTTGTTATCCCCAGCACGCGCGCCCGATTGCCCATCATTTGCATGCCTTGCACTTCAGGGTGCCCTTCTTTGCGTCGCGCGGGACATTGTGCGGATCGGGGAACGCCGACTTCGGTAGTCTTCTCTTGCATGCGCCGCTGCACTGATACGCCTGGCAACTGCGCGCGGTGAACCCGAGTTTTGTGCAGTCTCCGCGCGCGACTTTGCGTTGTGTCGCCTTTCGATGGTGTTCCTTTGCGTCTGCTTCAAATGTTTCGTGTCAGAGAACGCTCCTCCGCACGCCGCGCACGTCAGCGGCTTCGCGTCCGCCTCGGCTTTCCGCTTCCTATTATTCGACTCGAGCGTCGTCCTCTGACGTTCTTCCGCGCACCCCTGACACAGCCTCTCCCCCGCTGCTTTGTGCTTCTTCTGTGCATCGGACATATCCGACTCCTCTTGGAAAAGCGACAGACCTTTCTCGTTCGAGCAACGCACCTTGCGCTTCCTGTTATTTGACTCGCGCGTCGTCCTCTCCCGTTCTTCCGCGCACCTCTGACACAGCCTCTCCCCTGCTGCTTTGTGCTTCTTCTGAGCTGCCAACATGTCCGCCTCATCTGGCAATAGCGACGGGCAACCGTCGCTCGAACAGCGCACTTTGCCCGCGCTCTCGGCCCACTTGGCGTTGGCACGGCGCGACTTCTGCTGCCCCTTCACATCGCTGCATTTGACGCAGTACATGGTCCGAGCTTTTTTTGCGTCGTCCCCATCGCGAACCCTCGCCGCGCCCTCATCGTCGCCCCTCCGTGCGCTTTCGTCGCCGTGAGTCTTCGTTGCCCACGTGTCACACGTTTTGCACCATTTCTCGTCCAGGCTCTTCATCTCTTCCGTACACTCTTTACAGAAGGGCGGTCTCTCCTTCCGCTGGAACTCGCACTTCGCGAACGCCTCCATTAGCAGCCGACGTCGGCAACGCCCGCGCTGATCGCGCGGCATCAGCTTCGCCCCCCCCACTCCTCCCAATCCACAGTGTCGCCGCGTAGCACCTGCAACAGCTTCTGCGCGCCGGGCATCTCCCCCTCGTTGCGCGGCTTCCTGTCGAAGGGCCTGAAGATAAGTAAGTTTTCCCGTCTCCTCACCAGGGTAATCGCCGCGTAACTGGACATCCAACTTACGCCGCGCCCTCTTTCCAGATCCGCTATCACTGCGCCCAACGTCCGCCCTTGCGCGGCGTGCGCTGTGATTGCTAACGCTGGCGCAATCATAAACTGCGCGCGCTTCACCCCCAACGCCGGGTGCTTCCGATGCCCGTCCAAGAACCACTGGCGCCCCCTCTATGGAAAAATTGGATACAGTCCCGGCTCCCACCCGGGCAAGTGCCATTTCTTCGTGTGGAAGTCCAACACTATGACTCTTGGCAAGTGCGACAACACTTCTTCTTCTTCTTCGTCTCCCACGACTTCGTCCTCGTGCAAGACCCACCCATGAATCGTCGCGTGGCTTCCCCGCAGCAGCTGCTTCTTCGACCTGTCCAAGTGATCTCCTAAGGCCACGGGCATCCCCTTCGCCAACGGCAGCCACCCCAGCAAGCTCGCGCACTCCTTTTCGTGATAACCCAGCCACCGTATCTTGTCCCCCGCGGTGCACGGGCGTCTCTGCCCCCCCCCGTGGCACGGGCGATCTCTCGCCGCGACCCATAGCAGTTGCTCTCCGTGTTCCTCCGCCCACTGCGCAGCTCTTTGTTTCCCGACGTGGCACCGAATGTCCTGATTGGCATAGATCACCACGGCTTCCACGAATTTCTCTTCCCGAAATCGCGGGTCTACCGGCGACGTCGCCACGAGTTTCCTCTTCCCTCGCTCCACTTTGCACACCGCGCATTCCAGTTCATTGTCTCTGCCACTTTCCTCTGCTTTAACTCGACGCTGCGAGTTTCAGCATTGCGGCGCGCCGTTCGCCCGCGACCTGGCACGCCCGTCGGCCGCCCGTACAAGAAATTGCGCGCTCTCTCCGTCAATTCGCCTCGACGAAACTCGTCTTGCACCCCGAGGGACCAGGTGTCTGGCTCCCCCACGCGCTTGCACTCTGTCAGCTCTGTCATTCCTTGCACTGCCCCTGGGCCCCCCCGTCCCCAGAAGATATGCTGACCGTGGTCCTCCGCGGCACCCAGCGCGCACTTTCTGGCTTTTTTTTTCAGATGCGACGCGGGCAGCGCATTGATGGCAGTTCCCGGGGAAGGCTCTAACTGATAAAAGTCTCCGCAGAACAACACGTCGATGCCTCCGAACGGCCTGTCCACACCGTCTGTCCCTACATTCGTGCCACTCGCAGCTGGCATGCACGTCCGCAGATGCGAATCGAGTTCCGCGATGAAGTTTGCGCTCACCATGCTCACCTCGTCCACAATCAGCCACTTCCACTGTGACATACGCTGCGCCGCTTGCTCTGTCTTCGTTTTCTTCTTCGTCTCTGCGTCGGCATTGCCCGCCGCGTCCTTCTCTTTCGTTTTGTCCGCACCGAGACCAAATGCACTGCGAATCGTACCCCCGTCGAGAGCTGGCGCGCTTGTAGCCTGCAACGCTGCCGCGTGAAAATCTACGCCGCGCGCCCACCCCAGCTCTTTTTCGAACAGCTCCTTCCGGATCTTGTCTATGACGAAACTCTCCCCAGTCCCCGGGCCGCCATGCAACGTCCACGCGAGGGGCTGCATATCAGAACCGCTCTGCCCTGTTTTCTGGCCGCTCGCGGACCCCCCGAATGCTTGCGCCAACGCGCGATCTGCCACCTTCTCAACGACGCTACGCTGCCCCGCGTTCAACCGTTCTCCGCGATCCCTTGCCTCCATCTCCGCACACTTGACGCTGTTGCTTTCTTGGCCGCCACCACCTCTGGGGCACCTTCCTCTCCGCTTGCGCCGCTGCCTTCTGCGGCCTTTGACGCCGCGGCCACCGCTTGCGCTTTCTTCGCTTCCGCGTCATCCCACCTCAACACACCGCCCCCTCCGCGCTTCTTGCGCTTTCCGTTCATCCGACCAGTGCTCACGCCCCACACGGCGTCGCCCCTGGCCATGGCCTCCCGGCTCTTCTCCTTCTCGCACTCCGCATCTACATTTCTCCGCCTGTCCTCTTTCTCCATGGACGCGCCTCCCACATGCGTCTTCCGCCTTGTCGTCGCGTCGACAATTCTCGGATCCAGTTCTTCATCGCTGTGCAGCTCGTCCTCGTGTTTCACTAGATCTTCGTCCGTGACTGGTCGCATATCCACCGCGCCCATGTAGTTCTGCACGTACCTCTTTGTTTCTTCACATGACATGCCTTTCTTTAACCACTCCAATGACGCCTCCGCCCACGACCCCTGCGCTCCGCGGAAGTCCTGCAGGTGCGGCACTCCACATTCGACGTCGTCACGCAGTGTGAACGCCCGAAAATATACCATCAACAAGAGCGCGTTCCTATCCTCCTGCCCCGCTCCGTGCTTCGGCTGCGGCGCTCCATGAAAACTCGGGTTCCTCGGGCGCTCGTTCCGCACCAGCACCCACGTGTGCCTCAGAGTTTCCAACTCCGGAACATCCGGGAACGGCACCCACGAATAACTCTCCCATCCCTCCTTGATCACATAATCCACTCCAGCTTTCAATTGGGGTCCAGCCTCGGCAACTCCCAGAGGGCCCCCACGACAACTCACCAGAACCCCGAGCCGCCAAATGATCGTTCGAAGACGCCAAAGATGGCATCCACGCGGCCCAAGATGCCTCCAAGAGTGCTCCGGGACGGCCCTACCGCAGAATCCAAACGGCAATGTAAAGCCGCGGGCCCCCACAGAAACAGCATGAGGCCCCCAGAAGCTCTCCAACAATGCTGCCAGGACGCCCCCGCGAAAAGAACCAGGACCCCCCCAAGGAAAAAAAAAAAACGCTGAGCACCAAATATATTATTGGCCACCGGCGACGCTCCACCTCGAACGTCCGCTGCTGGGTCGCCGCCGCAGCGCCTCGACCACCTAACTATACCGTGACCCGCGGGACCACACATGTGCTCAAAACCGACCCCCACACCCCAACCCCCCTTAAAGGGGTCGGCGGATGTGGCGTAAGCCTAGAGAATCAAAGATATCCCAACAATGCACCAACATATTCAAAACTATCAAAAAATACTCCCCATACTGTTCTTTATAACATTTCTGAATATTTCTCCTGCAGAGGGACAGGCCCGACTGGTGCTGCGACCTACCGCGCTTGGAGAAGCAGTGCACAGATCACGCACTGAGACGCGTCGCTTTTGTGAAAGCGGCTTCTCACCAGATGTTTAAAGTAAATACACAAATAAACTCATTCCCTATATTTTCCAATATTGTCGGGGTTTCTGTCTTCCCCCCAACTCCCCATAGTTTCCCATATTTTCTGTGGAATCGACGATTAATGGTGTCTGTTTGTTTTTGCCCCTCCTGACAAAGGTTTTCTCTGGTTCCGTCATCATGCTTCACTGGCGGCCTCATGTCTGACAGCATGGGCGGTCGCTCCATTTCAAAGTTGGGCCCCTGGCCCCAAGTGGAGGAGGAGGAGGGGGAGGAGGAGGAGGAGGAGGAGGAGGAGGAGGAGGAATACGAGAAGGAGGGGGAGGAGGAGGAGGAGGAGGACCATGGGGTGCCAGCCACTCAGGCGCATCTGTCTCGCAGCGGCGGTACTTCTTGTATATGAAAGACGGGACCTGGGACGTGTTGGCTCACTTCGGTCTCCCTTCTCCTCCTCCACCTCCTCCTCCTCCCCTCCCTCCGCCATCGCGTTTCCTTCAGCTTGGTGTTGAGGTCGGTCACCTCGGCGATGCGTTCCTTGAAGACCCGCGGGTCCGTGACTAATTTTGTGTTCAGCAACTCCTTGACGTCCTGCGAATCGCCAAACTTCGCGTCCAATACCTTTACCGGGAGGACGACGGGTGCGCGGCAAGGGCAGGAAGCAGGAGCACAGCCTGCAACGATGAAGGGAGGAGATGGAGAGATGAGGATCATGACGAGACAAACCATACCCTTGGGATCAGTCAAGGAGGGGGAAGCGGGCAGGAGAAGCAAGGGGATAAGGGTGACGGCATCGACGCTCGTGGACAAAAAAAACTAGAAATTGGGGGCAGAGAGCAAGCACGGGAGGGTGACGGAAACGACAGGATACAAGAGAGAGGATTCGAACTCCAAGTAAGTACATGCAGGGGTCCTGCTTTACTGAAGGGGCCCCAGGACACACAAACAAATACACACAAATAAAAATACTCCCTATACTTTCCTATATTTTCTTGGTTTCTGTCTTCCCGCCCACTTCCCATATTTTCCCATATTTCCTTGGGAATCGAGAATTACTTGTGTCTGTGTGTTTTCCCCTCCTGACTTAATTACGCAGGCCGCAGAGCAACACATGAGCTCACACCGGGAAAAAACCCGCCCGACTTTGGGGGCACGCCCCTCCAGCGCCGCGACCGATGTTCTTTCCCCGCCCTCGAAGGGCATGGACCTCGGGTGGGGTCGCCCTGCTCCCCTTTGGGAATACTTTTTTTGGGTCGGCGGCTCCGAGGCAAAGGTCAGGGAGCGGAAGCGGCGTCCGGGATGCGGCACGAAGCGCATTTGCGAACACAGCCGCCGCGTAGGCAAGCCGGTTCGCACCTGCACAGCAAGTGCGCAATTGCACATGCACAGAACAAAATGAACTAAATTCACAAGCAAACGCACTTAGGCGCCGCAGTGTGAACCGAAGTGGACCCCTTTGAGAATACGGGGAGGGCCTACAATGTAAAAGCCACCGCGCGTCTGACAGAACGGGACCCCCTCTCGAACCTGCAGGATGACAGGGATCGTGACGCTGGCCCGCCGCTGGGTGGTCAAGGGCATCGCCGCGCGAGCTGTCGCGGCTCAGCTCGACCAGGGGAGGCCCAAGATCGGCCTTGGACCACTTGGGCCTGGGGGGAAGGACCGCAATCCTCGCTCGACGACGCACCTGGGTTCGTAAGGACAACAATCCTCACTCGACGCACCTGGGAAAGGACAACAATCCTCACTCGACGACTCGTCGAGGACAGTCCGAAACTTCAAAAATCACCTGCACAACGCGGGGCGAGAAGACCCACGACGCACCACCGACTGCGTGGCAAGACGGCTCTGCCCCGTACCGCGGGGCCGGCACCGGCGCACGGGCAGGGAGGCATACCGCTTCTGCGACTTCGCGGTGTCTCTCAGGGCCCGCCTTATGTTGCATCCTCGGGGGACCTTGCCTGTCGCGTCGCGACCCTATCCGCGTCGAATCTGTGTCGAATCCATGTCGGACTCGTCGGACCCCGTGTCGAATCCGTTTCAAATTCGCGTCGAATCCACGCCAAAGTCGCGTCGAGTCCGCATCGAGCCCACGTCGGGCACAAGAAAAGACACCAATTTTGGGGACAGGCGAGGTCCCCCGAAGATGCAACATAACCCGCCATGTTCTCCCGAGCATTTTGCTTAGGGTGGAGGGCCCAGGGTGACATCCATATGGTTTTTGCACCTAATTAGAAGATCGGTCCGTCTTGTGAGTCACCTTTTGCAGATTCAAGCCTCGAGCATCCATCGAAGCGGCATTTCAGATTTCACCCTTTGCCCTGCGCCCGAAGGAAATTCTCAGTTCTCTCTTTGATGGAAAGACATACGCTGCGCTGGACGACCAGCGATCGCTTCGAAACGCTGGGGGGGCCAAACCATCAGCACACTTCGTGCTGGCGGCTGCCTCGCCGCTGAACCGAGTGCTCCGCGGCCAAGTCAGCAAATCGACCAGCTGACTTGTTGAGGTAAGCTCCAGTGAAGGGGCCCCAGGACACACACATAAATACACACTAAAAAATAGTTTCCCCATATATTCCAGTATTTCTACGGGGTATTTGTCTTCCCCCCCACTTCCAATATTTTCCCATATTTTTAGGGAATCGACGATTAATTGTGATTGTGTGTGTTTTCCCCTCCTCATCCAGTACCAAGCCTGCACATGTCAATGAACTGCTTGGGCCTGGGCGGGGCAAACTTTCGCCAGCGACGCGCTGAGCGAACCCCTCGTTCATCCAGGACCCTGTGGAAGATAGCCCATGCATCGAATGCGATTGCCTTCCTGAAAGGATTTAAACTCCGATGAGCTCCTGAAGCCACCGTCAATCAATCGCAATGCAGTCGCACATCTTCTGGGGAGGACGCGGCCAGAGGGGCGCGGGCGAAACACTCGGCTCGCGGAAAAGACTGGCGCGCGCAGGGCAAGGGGCCGCATTCCGCAGCGTCGATTCTTCCATCTGCACCCACATGGACAGTGGGCCAGCCGCGACTGCCCAGATCCCCCTCGATCCTCCCTTCTTTCAGAAGCGGCCCCACGTCCAGGAGAGCTCCCGTAGCGGAGGGAGGTGGCCGACCGAGGCTTCCAGAGGGGGGCGGCGAACCCCGCCCCCCGTTCTGCTCCAGTCCCGCAAGAATGGCGGGCAACGCAGCCCTGCGAGATTAAAGGGGCCCCAGGACACACAAATAAATACACACAAATACAAGGATTCCCAATATTTTCCCATATCTTCAGAGTTTTTGTCTTCCCCCCCAATCCCCATACTTTCCCACATTTCCCTGGGAACCGACGACTCATTTTGTCTGTGTGCTTCTTTCCCTCCCGAGAGATGGAAGGGCAGGCGGCCTGAGAGGCGGACCGTGACCGAAAAGAGGGCGCCGGGGGCCGGTGACTCGTAGCTCCGTCTCTCCACTGGTAAGCCGCAAAAAGAAAAGACGACCGCCGGGTTCGCAGAAACTCGCCCCGTCGCCCCCGTGTAACCGATATTTAATTATCGTGAGCTTGTCCTGGCCCGTCTGCCGGACCTTTTGCACCCTGACTCCTAGAAGTATGATGCGAATCTTCCCGGCATGCCCACGCCCGTTCAACAGCTCATGACCGAATCGAAACTGAGGATCCAGTGTCGAACTACTAACCAAACCCAGCACCGTCATGGTGTACGCCCCAGGGACCAACCGCCCAGCGCACGCGACAGATTGAGCTCTCATAGGATGGACCTGGGCAAGAGACAAATCGATCACCTCGCGGGCCCAGGTTGCCCCAGGCTTGCAGAGCTTGCTGTCTCGCCCCGGTTAGCTTGGAGAAACGTCGAACCTAGTTGGACCTTTGGAGACTGATGAGCGACGTCAGCGGCATGCCCTTTGACGCGGAGGGGGGGGGGGGGAAGGCGGCGCGGGCGCGGTTGGAGACGCAGCGTGGCCCATGGCATGGACTGGGCACAGTCTAGAAGAAGACCTGCGTCACCAATGGGAACGATGACGAGGCAACACCCTTGGACTTCCAATCCGAGGGGGCCGCTCATGGCGCGCACCAGGAACGCTCGGGGGCGGGGCCGAGGCGTGACCGACAGGCGCACTGACCTACTAGGGTCGACAGTGGCGTGAACCATTTTTTAGGGGCCACAATAGACCTCCGCAGAACGCGGTTCGAGGTGTTTGGCCATCTCAAGGTTGGCACCGCGGCACAAAGCAGCCTTCAACGACGATGCGCCCCGAGCAGTGCCCCCAAGGTTCCTGTGGTCTTCTAATCCAGCGGCCAACGAAATGGCCCCTGGCCTCTCGACAGATCGGGTTACGCGGGGCTCTCGCAGACTGGGCGCTCGCTCTCAGCAGACTTGTGCCAATGCGCGATGATGCCGAGCATGGCCTGGGTAGGCCACGCGACCCCATCCTTGCAACCATCGGGCGCGCAAGCGTCGGCCTGCGCGGCCGCGGAGGGCAGGGGCAGAAGCGAGCGAGGCGGCCGCCGATTGGCTCCGCCAGCCACGCCATCACGCAACAGACGGGCATGTCCCTGAACGTCCGATGGCCCCAGGGGGTCGAAGTCCATGGCTTCTGCCAGATCGATGGGGCAACGAGACGTCGTGGGCGCCGAACAACTGCTCCAAGCGACTCCCAAATGCCCGCCGAGAATGGGCCCCACGAGTCCACGCGGCACCCCGTCGGCCCCCCTCGAAGCGACGCCGCGCCCGCCGGGGCGCTAAGGGGCCCCGAGGCCGGCGCCTCGAGGGGCGCGCTCGCTCTGCTCCCCGCGGGGGGGGGCCTTGAACTGCTCCCGTTTAGCGCCGGCTGTAGTCTCCGCGCGCGCAGCAGGTCGGGCCTCGGCGCAGGTCGAACTGACCGCGTCGGAAAACGACCCAGGCCATCAAGGCCCGGGCTGAGCCCGCCGCCGTTCGACCGGCCTGTGACCTCCAGGAATCGGGAACTCACCGGCGCGATTCGGCGGCCCAACCAGAGCGGAGCGCGAGAGATCGAAAGACTTCCATAGCGCCCTGGCCAGCGGCAAACGAGGCCCCCACAGCTGCTGGGACACATGAGCCCACATGCACAAAACAACATGCCGAAAGCTCTCGCCGCGCAATCTCCGACGCCCAGCCGTGCCGCGCCTGAACTTGAGATGGGCCGCGCGGGGGCCCTCTCGCGGGGGCGGTGCCAGGGGCTCTGCGAAGAGACGTCATCTCGGTCGCATTGTTTGGCGCAACAAGCTCGGCAGGTGCCCCCGCCGGTCCGGGGCCCTGCGCGCGCGGCGCCAACTTGTCGCGCAGCTCTGGCGGCGGTGGCGCTGGGCGCTCGCTGGCGCGAGAAATTCAAGCCCCCCCTCGCAACGGGGAAACGACCAGCTCTGACTGGCCCCCGCAACTGCTGATCGACCGCCGCGCGCGCCGGAAAGACTGACGGGCAGGCTGGCATCTTGGGAAGGAGCGGGTCGCGCGTTGATACCTGGAGGCAATCGGCTCAGCCCTCGGACGCGAGCGCGCATTCGGTCGCTGCCACCCCCCCTGGCCACAGGTTACCAATGGCTATCAACGCTCTGACGCGCATCTGCTCGCGCGCCAGCAAGGCGCGGGGAACCGCTCGACTCGAGACCGACGACCGGGATGTTGAAGTCGCCCATGGATATCGCTGGAGCGCGAAGTACGGGCCCCGACGGACGCACAGACCTCGCTCGACTCATCGACATGCTCGCCGCGCGCACCCAGGCCCGAAACAAGGCGCACAACGCTGGCGACAAAGACAGCAGCCGCAACTTTCAGCTGCAGAAGCCGCTCCAAAGCTCTCCGAACCCAAATCCAAAACCGAAGAATCGGGGCCAAAAACCAACGGGACTCCGGCCCTTGCCCGACGACGGCCCCCACTCTTCCGTGCGCCGCCCCTCCGCGAGGGGAGGGTCGGCAGGGGGGAAATAGGGCCCCCCGTTTCCTCTGAGTGCACCTCCTCTCGGCGAGCCCGCGCGCCCCAGGCGGATGGAACGTGGCGCTCGCAGAAGAGGGGCCCGCCGCGAGCGGTTTTTGCCTTCCGCGCGCAAGAGAGGGCCGCCACGTTTACCGTTGTGGCGCTGCAGAAAAAAAAACCTCGATTGACCTCGGAAGGGCTGGCTGCGCTCGGCGCGCCCGCGGGCTTGCGTTGCCCCCATCCCCCATAAGGGCCACGCCCCAGACATAATTTCGATCACCCGGAAAAAAATGTCAAGAGAGCGTCGGAAACAATGCCGAAACGGTGTCGGGCGGGTGCCTCCCAATGCCCGACGCGCGAAAACCACCGAGCCTCGGCGCGTTGTGGGGGCGCTCGGAATTCGTTTTGGTGGTCGAGGCTAAAGCAGGTTGGAGCATCATAACCGCAGGCTGCTTCTCGTCGCGGAGTCTGCGCACCTGGCCCCGCGGCTGCGGGGCGCGAAAGGGTGCGCCACTCTGCCGCCCTGGGCCTCCCGGCGCGACCTGGAACTGCTGTGGCGATCAATGGAAAGTGGCGGCGGCCTCGCCGCGCAGTCTTGGCGCGCTCGTTGGCCGACAGGGAGCTGCCTGACAAGGAGTGGAAAGGGGGCTGCTCGAGCCGCCCGATCAGGAGCTGCCCGAGACGCCCTGGCGACCCTCGGCGCCAAGTACTCCATCGAGTGCGCGACGCATGAGCTGCCGCAGCTCCCCAACGCGATCATTGCCAAAACCAGGCCCCGCAGCGCCATGCATATCTTCATCGAAGTCCAGCTTGGCCTGCGCGTGCTTCGGCGCCGGCCAGATGTCGTGCCCCTTGTGCATTTTGCGCGCGCCAAGCGCGCAGCGCCTCCTTCTTGGGCTGAACCAGGTCAGGGGGAGGTCGCGGCTGAGCACCAGCTTGCGGATGAGACTGCGCGCCAGGCTGAGGCCGAGCACCAGGCTGCGCGCGATCACCGCCACCGGCACATGCAAGGGGCTGTCGCGCGGGAGCATGACCTTCACCTGCAAACTAGGCTACACATCCAGCAAGAACCGCCCCCAGCTGTGCAGGTGCTGTCTGCTGATCACGCCTTTCGGGTTGCCGAAGCTCTCCGTCGCGAATACCGAAATGAAACTGATCGTGTTGGAATGACCACTGGGTCTCGTGGGCCGACTTGGACTCTCCATGGCACTGCGCGAGCACTCGGGCCCTGGTAGCGAGGAGTCCCCTGTTCGAACCATCGCCTCTCGATGCGTAGCCGCTGACGCCAGCCTCCCACCTCGCTACGCGCAGCTCGCTCCGCGCGCGAGACACGCTCCGCCCCCTTCGCGGGCCCAGCCTGGCGGGCAGCCACCTTGCGCTCGATCTCGCCCTCTGTGGCGGGCTGCGGGGCCGCCGCAGGCAGGCGGCAACTGCCGCATGCTGACTCGCAGCCAGGGGGGTGGCTGGCATGCTGGGATGTTGAGGTGCAAATGCGGCCAACTGCACAGTCGCATTGCACAAGCAATCCGTTCCTCACGCCACGGTACTGACCTGACCAACTCGCAAATCTGACGTTGTCGTACCAGTCAAACCGTCGGCCCGTATCAGAAGGATGTGCGATAAAAGGATGCAAAGGCTTTGGGTGCCTTTTTTCCCGACACTTGTGCGAGCGGAGCGCGACCAACGAAAGTGGACAAGGATGAGCCGAAAAGGCAACGATGCCAGGGTATTCTTGGGACCGATGTCCATCCTTACTATGCGGGCTGACTGTATTCAGAATTGCCGCAATTCGCGCACACCGAATCGGAGCCTGTCGGACAACCCTTGGTCAACGACACCAACCAGCAGAACCAACACGAGCAGCATGAAGCGGGGTCCTACAACGCCACGCCATCCCGACATAATCTGCTTGACTCTGAGGTTGCTCCGACAGGGGGTCGAGCACTGATTGGACCAGCCTGGACAAGCAAATTGGAACAAACACTGGTAGAACCAACCATGGTGGACAGTCCAGAACACGCGTCCCGAGCCTGAGCAGACAGGTCCATGAGGAGGTCCACCAGAGCCTCAAATAGACAGGGATCTAGCCGCGGACTAGCGGTATCCACTTGGCTCACCTGGGAATCTTGCGCCTTGAACCAAAGTGGCTACGGCACGATGGAAATAACAGGAAAGGACAAATTCCATGAGGATGAGAAGATGCGAGGGTAATCAGGACGACCAATATCATCATGCGAAGGATCCGGACTAGGAGGAGCGGCGGCAAGAGAAACATACTTAGCAGTCGCGGTAATATATCATATACATGTATGTATGTATGTATGTATGCATGCATGCATGCATGCATGCATGCATGTATGTATGTGTGTATAAACAGAGGAGACAGAAAGCGAGAGAGAGAGAGAGAACAAGAGAGGCCTACATACACACGTGAATACATTTCGCACCTCTACGCGTGTGTAGAAAGATACGCACGTTGTCGTGCACGTGCGCATGTGCAGGAGTATGTCTACACATCCGCCACCGTGTCCCCTGGTATAGTGAGGCGTGGACAAATGCCGAGGGCTACCACGGTGCCTCTGTATAACCTATAGGTACGCATATTGAGCTCCCAAGACGGCCCATGCAGGCAATCAAGGACACCAAGATGCTTCGAAAACGGCCCAGCATGCCCCCCCATGGCGGCCGCAGATGGCTCCAAGCCCAGGATGCTCCCAAGAAGAACCCACAGGACGACAAGAGGACCTCCAACAGGGTCTGAAGAAACCACAATCGTTTTCAAGGGATTGCCGCATTCTCGTCGTTTCCGACTGCCGCCTGCTCAAGACGGCCCAAGAAGGCCCTGCGATGGCCCCCCAAAAGCCCCAAGATACCCTCTAGAGGGTCCACAGGTGGCCCGGCTGACAAAAAACAACACGGTGGCCCAATATGCATCCAAAATGGCCCCAAGACGGCCCAAGGGGGCCTCCCGTGGGATGCAAGACGGCCTTAGAAGGCCCTTCGGCGGCCCAAGACGGCGCCAAGACGGCCCCACAACGGCCCCCAGATACCCATCATACGGCCAAGAGGGTCTCACGACGTTCCCCAGACACCCATCATATGTGCTACCCTGACGCGGACTCGGGCGGCAACAAGTTGCAGACAACGGCTTCGACTTTCGCAAAGCCTGGAGACACGAGGTGTCACACGTGACGGCCTCCCGTGCCCCCGCGAACAGTCGCCACCCTTAATGCTGGGCCGGCACCGTGGCGGGACTTGCCGCAGGCAGCTGCAACAATCAAAAACGATGAGTGATACCCATCACGCAACACAGAAGCTGGATCTGGGTGGCATCAGAAAGCAGACTCTTCAGGGGCCGCTCCTGCAAGCAGGGATCTTGCCTGTTCCGGGTTTCTGAGAGACGGCGCACACATGACCTGGACACCCGCCGTCCACACTGGAGGAGAGATTTGACGCGAGGTGGAGGCGGGAGGCATCGGGGAGCTCTTCCTCCTCCTCTTTTTTTCTCACAACTCCCGACGACACTCATGCTCCTCACCGGAACTCCTGCTGATCCTCAGGGCTGAACCTAAACAGTGTTTGTCGCTTCACTTATGTGCTCGTTTTCCTTCGTTTTGTCTTCAATACGCCTTTACCGCAAAACGACATCGACACAAAAACGGCCCAAGAGATCGCCAAAACACCGTTTACGTAGGTCCAGCCCTGCTCCTCCTCGATCCTCCTGTTGATCCGTCGTCGACGTCCTCCTCGACTGTCGTCCTCCACCCTCTCCAGGCCAGAGAAAGCGGCCTCCACTAGGCTCACGGACTCGAAGTGGGCGGCGCTGCTGACGCCGGCAGGGCAAGCGGCGCCATCCCTGCGGCTGCCGCTGGCAAGAGCAAGAAGAACCGACACCCGCCCGTGGCACGGCACGGCACGGCTCCCCCCCCTCCTCCTCCTCCTCCTCCTCCTCCTCCTCCTCCTCCTCCTCCTCCTCCTCCTCCTCCTCCTCCCTCCCACCCTCCTCTTCCTCCCCCTCTTCCTCCCCCTCTTTCCTCCTCCTCCCACCTCCTCTCCTCCTCCTTCTCCTCCTCCTCCTCCTGCTCCTCCTCTCCTCCTCCTCCTCCTCTCTCCTCCTCCTCCTCCCTCCTCCTCCTCCTCCTCCCCCTCCTCCCCCTCCTCCTCCTCTCCTCTCCTTCTCCTCCTCCTCCTCATCCTCCTCCTCCTCCCTCCTCCTCCTCCCTCCTCCTCCTCCTCCTCCTCCCCTCCTCCTCCTCCTCCTCCTCCTCTTCCTCCTCCTCCTCCTCCTCCTCCTACTCCTCCAAATGCCGTCTGCTCGAGCTGCTGTGCCGTGCTGGCTTTGCCCTATTCTTGCCACCCGAGCACGGCGTGCCTCTTATAGTGGGCCCTCGGGAACGACAGTGCCGTTTTGTCACCGCTTTCGAAAAAAAGCGTCTCCTCCAGACTCCTCCTCCTCCCTCTCCTCCTCCCCCTCCTCCCCCTCACCCCCGCTTTTCGAGGAAAACAATGTCCTCCTCCTCCTCCTACTCCCCCTCTTCCTCCCCCTCCTCCTCCTCTCCTCTCCTCCTCCTCCTCCTCATCCTCTTCCTTTTCCTCTTCCTTCTCCTCCTCCTGGGGCGCCACGGGCGCCCCCCCCACCTCAAGAGACGTCCCAAGAGACGTCCTTCTCCTCCTCCTCCTCCTCCTCCTCCTCCTCCTCCTCCCCATCTCCTCCTCCTCCTGCAAGTGCCGTCTGCTCGAGCTCATGTGGCGTGTTGGTTTTGCCCTTTGCCACCCGAGACTGGCGTGCCTCTTAGTGGGCCCTCACCGCTTCCGAAAAAGGGCCCCTTGAAAGTGGAGACGGGAAGAGATTGGCGACCCGCAACAAACACAAAAAAACGGCCCCACTGGGCCCCTCCACAACGAAGAGGGCTCCTGCTTCAGCGGCCCTCACGGCAAGGATGCAAGGACCACAGGGGGCCACGCCTATACACTCTGCGCACGGGGCGCGGCCAGCGAGAGCGGCCAAGCATGGGCCCGGCGGGTGGGAAGGATGCACAGGGTGACCGCAGGCAATTAATAAGAACCCCCCAGGGCTATCCATAATTAGCACCGCACCGATATAATTCCAGGGGGGCAATTTAGCAGAACGATGCACAGGGTAATCTTACTGTGCGGGTTAACTGTGCGAATGCTTGCAGCACAGTAGGGGCTCGACCACAAGAAACCTTCCACAATAAACCCAACTCTGAGACTCCAGGACATCCATTGATTTTTGTTGTGGGAACGCCACGCTCTCCTTCGCATAATCATCGAAGCCCAAGAAACCAAGGGCACCCTGTAGACAAGCAAGGTGTTTCTTGGTATGGGTTCCCACTGTAACCTTGGAAAATCGCTCATCCTTACTATGCGGGTTGACTGTACGGGTACTTGCGGTGGGACTTCCAGATTCTGTTGGGCGCGAGTAAGCGGTGGGCGACAAATGGGGGGTCGGAAGAAAGGTGCCCTTTACGGGCCTTAAGCGGCCTCCCTCTGGGGCCCGAAAGGGTCCGCTTAGGGGCCCTAAAAGGCATCGTTTTTTGCAGCCCTCGCTCCCCCCCCCTTTTTTGACCCCCCATTGACTCGCGCCCTTCAATTCCAATGTGACGTCTGCGTGCGGGCTGCGGCCGCTGTCGTGCACTCGCAGGACATTGCTGGATCTCTTGCGCACAGGCCCAGGTCAATGCGCCTCTGGCCCTGCAGAATCCTGCAAGATCCGGCGCTCTGACTGACCCCTGTTTGCATGGATCCCCGTCCTTGGAGCCCCGATTCCAAGGTTAGGTCGGGCATGTCCCCCTACAGGCGGACTGTGGAAGACAAATGGACACTAGTCCAACCTATTCACGCACTTTCAAGAAATTCGCAGAAGGCATCTATACACCACCACCGTGCCAAGGCAGGGCCACCCTGGGCCCCAGGATGGCCCTGCCTTGGCACGGTGGTGGTGTATAGATGCCTTCATCGGAAAAAAAACACCGGCCATCGTCCCCAGACCAGTTTCTACCACTCTTGAAGGCTCCTCCCGTAGACGCACATGCCCGACGTTGCCGCCCCCACGGGCTGCTTCTGGGCCCTGGCCCGGGGCGCCGGGCGGGGCCTCTCCCCGCCGCGCCCCGCTCGTGGAGCGGCGGCGCTCGAGGGCTCTTCGGCGCCGCGCGACGGGCCAGGCTCCTCCAGACCCTCGCCATCGCTCGGACGTCCATTCCCTGTGCTTTTTTCGGTTTCGTGCGTGGTTTTTTCGCTAAATGATCAAGGATGCTCATCGAAACATGCACACGTCCGAGCGATGCCAAGCTCCAGGCCGGGGGCTGCGCCGAGGCCGCCCCGTTCGTCGAGGAGGCACCCGGCGGGTTCGCGAGGCAGGCTGCCCCCCCCCCCCCCGCGCCCGGCGGTCGAGGGCCTGGCACTGACAGAGCGTGGCGGAGCTCGCGCAGCTGCCTGCACGGGGAACACTGCGCCCGAGCACGTTTCGGGCCGCGCGAAAGGGGGGGATAGCAAAGGGGGGGTTGGAGAATCAGCTCGCGTAGCTGATTTTCCCGGCGCCTCCCGGCGCCAAAGGCGGCTATGTATCGAGGAATGGGCCCCTCGGTGGGGCCGAGACCGGCTGCATGCGGCAGATTTCGTAACCCCCCCTTTTCCAATCCCCCCCTTTCGTCCGGCGCGAACGTTGCCGCGTCCCGCGCCGACCAGGAAGCAGAGGCTCCGCCGCGGCTACCTTCATGCATCAGTGGTTCAAGAGGATGCCGGTGTTTCTCGATGCACGGACTCGCCTCAGGACGTGGCGTTCGTGATGCCTCATCGGGCGTGCGGAGGTTGAGAGCTCGGTCGTGCCCTGACGAGGCGTGGTCGTGCGCGGCGAGGTGCGAGCCCCTGTGCCAACAACGTCTTATTAAAGGGAAATTAGGACACACAAATAAATACACACAAATAAAAATAGTCCCCATATTTTCCCATATTTTCTGGGTTTTTGTCTTCCCCCCCAATTCCCATATTTTCCCATATTTTCCTGGGAATCGAGGATTAATTGTGTCTGTGTGTTTTTTCCCCTCCTGACTTATGCACACCACCATCTGTAACCTCTCTATCGGGGGTTGCCACAGGTGCCCCTGGCCAACAGGTGCCCCCGGCTTCTCGCTCCACTCTGGAGACCCCGGGGCCCTCTGGGCCCCGCGAGGGGTGCTCTGGAGGCCGGGGGGCCTCATTGGAAAAACCCTGGGGGCACGCTGGGCCAGGCGCACTTCTGGCAACTCCCCACTTTAAATCCGCTCCCCCTCGCGGGGGCCACACCCGTCCACTGCGAAGAACTATCGTGATCGTATCGGAACAACTCGCGGCCTTGCGCCGAGGCCCCTCGCCGAAGACCTGCCTCGCCCTCCTCCGCTCCCCTCCGGCTCCTCCCTCCTCCCGGCCGCTGCACGCGGGGCCGGGCGCACTTCTGGCAACCCCTGCTCTCATCCTGCCTGAGCCGCCGAGGCCCCTCGCCAAAACCCTGCCTCACCATCCTCCGCTCTCCTCCGGCTCCTCCCTCCTCCCGGCCGCTGCACGCGGGGCCAGGCGCACTTCTTGCAACTCCCGATCTCATCCTGCCTGAGCCCCCGAAGCCCCTCGCCAAACCTACAATGCGGGCGCGGTCGCAAGAAACCCAACCCTGAAAACCCGCGCGCGAGGTGCAACGGATGGTAAACCTGGAGCACCCCGAACGCAGCAGCTCCTCCAGCGGCCGCAGGAAGTCGCCGCGCACCGCGCGGAGCGAAGAAACCCAGGGTGCCCTGACGAAAAAATGATGGTCTCTTGAGGCGCGCCCCCACTGTACCTCACCATCCTCCGCTCTCCTCCGGCTCCTCCCTCCTCCTGGTCGCTGCCCCCGCCCCTCTGCCGCCCCGCAGTGCGGAGGGGCGCCTGCGTGGCGGGCGGCGGTCCCGAGCTTACGAATCGACCCGCCTGGCGAGGCCCCCCCCCACCCAGAGAGGTTGGCACCATCGAAACACAGGTCTGCCCTTCCCTGGTGTCAGGGGTTGTCCCTCCTCCCTCCCGCCCTCCTCCCTCCTCCCCCTCCTGCCCCTCCGCCCTCGCTCCTCCCTCACCCTCCTCCTCGCCCTCCTCCCCCCCCTCGCCCCCCCGTACATTGTGCGTCTCAGGTAATCCTTCCGAGTACCTCCTCCTCCTCCTCCTCCTCCTCCTCCTCCTCCTCCTCGCCCTCCTGGCCCCTCCTCGCCCTCCTCCCTCCCCCCCACCACCTCTCCTCCCTCCGCTGTCCCTCCCCCCCCCTCTCCCGGCAGCTGCCCCCCTGGGGATCGCACCCCGCGTCCTGGCCGACAATGGCGGCGCCTGCCGCGGGGGAGTGCCGTGAGGCACCCCGCACCTGGAGCGCGCGGGGCTCGGGAGGGCCGCGGCGTCGAAGCCGCGCTCCTGAGGAGGGATGGGCCGGGGATCATCTCCCTCATCCCCCTCCTCCTCCTGGTTCTCGTCCTTCCTCCCCCTCACGTTCCCTACTCCAAATCTCCGCCTCCTTCTCCTCGGCCTTTTCTTCTCCTCCTCCCCCCTCCTCCTCCTCCTCCTCCTCCTCCTCCTCCTCCTCCTCCTCCTCCGTCTCCTCCTCCGTCTCCTCCTCTTCCTACCACATCCCCTCTCATGCCCCTGCCACCGCCTCTTTTCATTGTCGATCCCGGCTCTCCTTCTCCTCCTGCTCCTCTTCCTCCTCCTGCTCCTCCTCCTCCTCCTCCTCCTTCTCCTCTCTTTTCGTCCTTGTTTCCCTCGACCTCCTGCTCCTATACCCCGCCCTCCCGACTCCTCCTCCTTTTTCCTCCTCCCAATTCCTCCTCCTCCTCCTCCTCCTCCTCCTTCTCCACCCCTACCCTACTCCCCTCCTCTGCCGCTCCCTCATCTTCATCCCCTATCCTCTAGCATCTTCTTCTTCCTCCTCCTAATTCTTCTCATCCTAACCCGGCTATTCATCCCACCCCCCTTCTATCCTTTGCCCCCTTCCTCCGCACCACCGCCCCCTCCCTTTCCCCAATATTCTATATCCCCTCCTTCCGCGCCTCCCCTTATCCTCTCTTCTTCCCCTTGCCCTTCCTCTCGTCTTGACGCTCGTCCCTCTTCCCCACATCCTACTGCTGCTTCGACTCTTCACGCCTACGCATCATCCTGCCTCCGCCCAACCCAACTTCTCCACTTATATCGGCCGCATCGTTCCTCATCCGTCTTCGATCCTCCGTCCTTCCTCTCCCTCCACCCCTCCTCCATTCTCATCATCCCTCCTTTTCCTCACCAATCTCCTTCACTTCGCCTTGATCTTCCAAATATGACCAACACTTCATCAAGACCTCCTCATCTTCCTCCCGCTTCCCCTCCTCCTTCCCTTCCCGCTGCCAATCTGCATCCCTGTCCGCATTATCCTCCTTGTTGTCGCCGTCTTCTGTGCTTTACTTCTCCTCCTCGTCCCTCTTCCCCTTCTGGTCCTCCCCTCATCCGAATCCCATGCACCCTCCTATTATCCCCCCTTCCTTCTTCCTCCCTGCTCCTTGTGCTGCTTTCAAGCACGTATCTCGCTGAGCCGACAAAGAGAGAGAGAGAGAGAGCGAGAATCCCAACAACCCGGCCAAGCCGAAACTGGTACGACACGTACGTGTGATGTCCCAATATCGGGATCCTCTCTACGACCAGGGGCCGGTCCCAAAAACCTCCACGGATTCCGATATGCCTCAAGATGCATCATGATGGTTCCAATACGGCTCCTCTGGGGAAACCACAAGGTACCGATGCCGCTACTCCCTGGACCTCTCCTGGGGAGCGTTCTGACCAGGAATTCGAAGCGAATTCAGCGGTGGCGACGAAGGCTTCCCAGCAGGGACCGACCGTCCCGGCATTCCTATAGTCCTACCACAACATGTTTTCAGAACCCAAAAGAGTTCTAAGAACAACAACGATGTTCCTAGAACATAAGCTCAACCAGAAATATTCTGAGAGCATTTCGTGGAAACCACAAGAGGTTCTTAGAACATTGTTTGGTGGGGCTATAGGCGAGCCGGGACGCTTCGCAACTGCTTGAATGGGCACCTTCTTCCTCCTCGGATCCTCCAGAGCACATGACCGGCTCGGCCACACGGCCCTGTGATGCTGCGCCGCGCACCCCGACGGGTTGCTCTGGCACTGGGAGCCCATGGAGGACGTACGCCCCTAACTCTGCGAGACCGGCCGAAAAATCCGCCGATCCGGAGTGTGAGTTTAGGAAAGCTACGACCTGAGCTTCAGCTCTGCTGGGGCGGGGCTGGGGTGGCTCTGCCGGGGTAGGGGGGGAGGGGGGTGGGGGGTTCATCGGGTCCACGCTTTCTTTCCCCCCCCCCCCAGGGCGTGCTCTCGAAACCAACGTGGATTCGTGTACGGTGCGGGCGCGGCCGCAAGAAGCCCAACCCCGAAGACACGCGCGCGACGTGCACCGGAGGGGGAGCCCAAGACACCCCGAACGCACTAGCCTCCTCCACGGCTGCGGGAAGTCGCCGCGCAGCTCGTGGAGCGAAGAAACCCAGGATGCCCTGACGAAAAGCATCTGGTTCCTTGATGCGCGCCTGAGTATCGTTTATCCGACCCCCATCCCCAGCGGCGTGGCCTGGGCCCCACTGGCCGATTTACTCCCCTAGATTGGGATCTAGGCCCCCTTCGGTTTTCGGGGGGTGTCTCCCCAACCTGGGGGGGGGTAATTTGGTGGGGGTCTCCAAGGGGATGGGGATGGGGATGGGGATCGGTTGAACGGTTCTCAAATACCTCAAAGCAGCAAAACAGTGCTTAAAAGATCGTCCCCAAACTATGTTTTGATTATCTTTGACGATTCCTCCTGTAGAGGGACAGGCCCGACTTAAGTAGGCGGCGAGCCAGGGGGGAAGTGAGAAGGGGCGTAGCTTTTCAGACGGCTCGAAAGTCCCCCAGACTTCCGAGAAGTTTCCGAAGCCTTCCCCGAAGACAGACAAAAACTTCTCAGAAGGCGCGAAGGGCTTCTGAGAAGTCCCGCCGCCTTCTGTGAAGGCCTCCTCCTTCTCGCTTCCCCCTCTCGCTCGCCGCCGACTTTACGTGTACGTGAGTCCTCCTCTTGCTCCGCGAGCACTGCGCCCCCCCGCGGAGCCACAGAGGCGGCCGCCCGACGCCGAGGAGGGGCGGCGGCTCGCGCTGCCCGCTCGCTCGACGGGCTGGCCCCCGCCGCCGCCGCTCCCGCGCCAACCACGGTGCGTGTAAGTCGGGCGTGTCCCTCCACAGGAGGAATACTGAAACATAGGAAAACAAACAAGTCGGGGCACTTTTTGTCACGTATTTGTTTGACTATTCTGGGGGTATGTTCAGAGGAAAGAAAACTATGCACATACACCGATTCTGGCCAGGCCCATCCTGAGCCCAAGACCGTTGCAGACGCCCTCCTACCGTGGCCAGGACAGCATATGCACCGATCCTGGGTCAAGGATGGGCCTTGCCAGGATCGTTGCATGTGCATAATTCTCTTCGCCCGATACAGGAGGAATATTGAACAATGGGGAAAAAAGGTCGGGGGACTGTTTAACGTATTTGTTTGACTAGGTTGGGGGTATTTGTTTCACTATGTTTTACATGTCACACAAAATCCGCCTGTATGGGGGACATGCCCGACCAAACAGTACGTGTATGGGAGAAGCCCCCACAGCCCCAACAATCGAGGGCGCGCAAACATGGATTAGCGATGCATGGATGTTTGGCGCGCGGTCGCCAAATCCATGGATCGGGGGAGGTGCCCTTCCCAAAATGCGGCCGGTGCCGCCTCGCCCGGCGGCGATAATCAGCGATTTCCCATGGAAACGGGACCCTTCGCTAATCCACACCCTTTGATCCATGCTTGCGATTGCCTAACGCAAGCACAGGAGAGCCACACCAACCTTTTGATCGAACGCATGGCAAACTTATGTTGCATCCTCGGGGACCTTGTCTGTCCCGTCGCGTTCCTATCCGCGTCGAACCCGAATCCGTTTCGGACTCATCGGATGCGTGTCGAATCCGTATCGAATACGTGTCAAATCCGCATCGAATCCACGACAAATCCGCGTCGAGTCCACATCGAGCCCGTGACGGGCACAATTAAAGACACCGATTTGGGGGACAGGCGAGGTCTCCCAGAGACGCAACATAAGAGGCTGCACGTGTCGGGGAAAGTCGAAGCGCTAGCACAGCGGTTGACGTCGACAGCCGGATACAGTCATGAGTGGGGCACTCATCGATCCCCAGGGACACTTAGCACCCGCACGTTCGCGTCGGAGCTGGATACGAACTACAATGAAGGGATATCAGCGCCAACCAACGACATAGACGGAAGGGGGAAGTCGAATGGGAAGGCAGGGCAGCCATCTGATTCACAATCCTGCTCCTGCCTCCTCCCAATGCTCCAGCTCCCCTTCACGAGTACTCGGCGCGTTACTCCCCTTTCGTCCAGAATAGCGCTCTTACCTCAACGCGGTCAACATTTATGGATCAAGTTCCTTCCTCGTCGTTGCCGCCTCTTCGCGCTCCCCTTCTCAACCGTCCACTGGTCTTCTTGCTCTTCCCGCTTCTCCTAACCCTGCTGGCAATTATCCTCCCCGCCCTTCCTCAGCATACTCTTCTTCCTCATGCTCATCGGCCAGTTCCTCCTCCTCCTCCTCCTCCTCCCCGAAATGTACACAGCCCTCTCCCCCTAACGGTTGAGCATCATACGACTGGGCCAGTTCGGGAGCCAGCGTCCTCCAGAAAGCCCTGGCGGGCGGGTGCCACGTAGCTCAGCGCATCGGAAAAGATGGGTGGAATGGGGTACAGTCATCGGCCTGACCTAAGGAACGATAAATCAGGAACGAAGCCCCTTTTCTCCAGGGAATAACGCATAAGGAACGATAAATAATACACAACGCATAAGGAACGATAATGGAACGGCCGAGCCCCTTTTGAAAAGTAAGCGTTCCTTATTCAAGCCGCTCACTGTATGACATCAGATGTGGCGCGAGCGAACCAAGTGTGTCCTCCTCCAGCCCAGCCTTGCCCTCCAGGAGAAAGAGGAGACATCCCCCTGGCCTCGAGAGCACTCGGCGACGGCCCCTCCTGAGGCTGCGTCGCGCGCCGCGGCTTGAAGCCGAATCGCATCCTGGCCTGGTCGTCTGGCTTCGGGGGCTGCTTGCCAGACAGGTCGTCCTGGAGAGATGTGTGCACGAAGAGGAGGAGCACCATAATGAGCAGGAATGGTATTTGAAAGAGGTACATGATGATACAACTGCGCATTTCCCACTGTAAGTGCGAAGCCTAAGCGGCAAGGGTAGGAAAATGACCATGCCGAAGAGACCAGGAGAGATAGGGAAAGGAAACCAGGTATGCGCAATATAACAGGACGGTGAGGATGTCGACTTCGATGGCGAGGACGCCAAGCATGGTCAAGCGTGGGCGAGATGAACTCAATCAAACGGGCGGGCACCACGATGGACCCGGCAGTGGGGAGGATGGTGGAAACGACTTGAGGAGCGGGGAGGGAGAGGAATTGGGTGGCGCTGAGGTGAGGGAAGCGGTGGAATGAGGACGGGAGAGAGGAGGGAGAGATGGCAGTGATTGGAGAGGAGGGGGCGTGGGAAGGGGCGGGATGGAGGGGGGCAGGGGTAAGGAAACGGCTGGAGGGGGAGGACGAGGCGACAGGAGGGGAGGAGAGGGGAGGAGGACGAGGTGGAAGTCCTCCTCCCCCTCCTCCTCCTCATCCTCCGCCTCGGCCTCCGCCTCCTCTTCCTCCTCCTCCTCCTCCTCCTCCTCCTCCTCCTCCTCCTCCTCCTCCCCTCCCAGGGAGGGACAACTCTGAGGACATGGGGGAGAGGCACCGAGCCTTGCCGAGGCAGCTCCGACCATGGCGCGGCCGCCGTCCACGCCACGGGGCAGCGAGCCGTGTCCCGCTGCGGCATTTCCAGTCAGTCTTCTGCAGGAGGAGCGGGGACCAGGCTTGAAGAAGAGCGGGGGGAAGGCGCAACAAACTCAATCAATCCCGACCTAACCCGGCCGCCCGACTCCAACGTGCACGTGGATGCGACGATGCTTCCGTGCTCTTCTGCGCGAGGCTGGACTGCGGACTGGCCTGCCGCAGGAGGCAAGTCCCCAGAGAGAACAGGGTGGAACGCAAGGGGCGAGATCGAGACTGTGGCGCGACACCGTCAACGGCAGCGGCCGCAGGAGCCACAACGAACCGAAGGTTGGGAGCGAGATCGAAGTGGAACGGAGCGCCCCCCCCCCCTGGGAAATCGGTTTCGGTGCCGGGTTCTTTCTCGCGCGTGCGGGCGAAGGAGCTGCGTGAGCGAACGAGAGGGAAAGACTCGCTCTTGCCAGGGCGGGGCAAAACAGCTGTCCGACCCTCCGCGGTGGCCGGGTTGACCAAGTTGTCCTGCCGTGGTGTCCTGTGGATGTCGGTGCCCCTTCGGCGACGCGTTGGTGTTCGGTCGGTGTCCGTTAGTGAGATCGATCGTGAGATTCGATAGTGGAGCCGATAGTGAGATCGATAATGCTATCGAGAATGAGGTGGATCGTTAATGAGATCGATCGCGAGATCGATCGTGAGATCAACCGTGAGATCAATAGTGAGTGGATAGTGATATGGATAGTGGGATCGATAGTGGGATCGACAGTCAAATCGACAGTCAGGTCGATTGAATGAGACGTTGGCTCCTCCCTTGTCCCCCCCTCCTCCCCGAACAGCAAGCGACTCCACAGCGACCTGGGACAGTGCAGTCCCGATGGGCGGCTGGACCAACACAATTGGGGGGTTCATGGCGCAAGCGTTCCCAACACTAGAGGAAGAACCAACTAATTGCATAAGCATAAACTTTCGACGGTCCGCGCGGAGCGCGCCCGGGGCGGCGCCCAAGGCGCCGCCAGGGGGATCCAGGGCGGATCCAAGAATTCCGCGCGGACCGTCGAAAATGATGTTTATGAAACTTGTTCGGCTTCGAAACACGCAACCGGCTGTGATCGAGTTTGCGGGAGACTGAACCTGCCGGGGGACATCCGGCGAAGCAGCAGGATGGGGATGTAAGGCAGCAGGAGCAGGAATCAACATCAACTACCCTCCACCTCCACCTTCTATACCTTCCGACCTCCGCGGAAAGTGCGGATGAATTCATGGGTACTCGTGGAAATCTTTAAGCAATTCAGTGACACCCACACAGATCCTGTCGACCAAGGGGCGGAAGGTCAGGGCGAGAAGGCCCGGAAGAAGGAGTGGGAGGGTACAGTCGGGGCGTTGACATAAGGAACCCTGAATAAGGACCGACGCCCTTTTTTCCATAAGTCAAACTTCGATTTCCCATCGAAAACATAAGGAAAACCCGAGGCAAGCTGCGAAACAATTAAGGAGCACGGAGCCCCTCCCCAACGAAAAGGGTTCCTTCTTCAGGGCCCCGACTGTATAACTTGCCATCGCGCGGACGTCCAGTCCCCATGCCTTCTTCGATGTCGTGCATTGCTTCGCCGCTGTATTATCAAAGATGCCCCTGGATGGATTCATCAAGCAAGAATCCCTAACTCTTTGGGAGGGAACAAATTCAGGAGGGCCAGGAACGTTAGGGATGTATGGGTGTTTTCTGCAGATGTGCCAGGCCAAGCCGTCCAGATTCTGCTGCCCTCAATGCAAACGCGGGGACCTCAGCGAGGCCGCGTCTTCGTAGTGTTCTCAGGGTTAGGGCTCCTTTTGTTCCCGATGACCGATGGTCCTCGCCGAGGACAAATGCACACGACCGAGCGATGCCAAGGCCGAGCGATGCCATGGCCCTCTGATTCTTGGGAGGGGCTCGTGACTGATTTTGGGCGGAGTTGCGCCGGGACTCAGAGCCGCAGTTGCCTCCATTCGCCCGCCGAGGGGGCGAGGGTCAGAGGGGGGGAGGAAGACCCTCCGGCATCTGAAGGAGCGGCCCCAGGGGAGCTGTTCGCGCAGGGGGTCACGATCCCATTTCTCCTGCCCACCCCCACGGGCAGCGCGCAGAGACAGCCCTGGCCGTCCGCGCGCCATGCTTCTTCCCTCCACTGAGATAAGGGAACATCTGGGCCCCAAGGGATCCCTGCCTCCCAAGCTTGGCTTGAGCAGGGACCGACCGTCCCGGCATTCCTATGGTCATACCACGAAATTTTCTTAGAACCCAAAAATGTTCGAAAAACAAAAACAATGTTCTTGGAGCATAACCCCGATGTGTTACAACAAGACAGTCCCAGCCAGAAATGTTCTGAGAACATCTCGCGGAAGCCACGAAAAGTTCTTAGAACATTGTGTGGTGGGGCTGTAGGCGAGCCGGGACGCTTCGCCGCTGCTTGACAAGCTTGGCACACGACCGAGCGATGCCAAGGCCCCCGCTGGCGAGGGGTCTTACGCTGCGTTGCTTCCATCGTGCTTGAGCTGAGCACGTTCTCAGGGTGGAGGGCTCAGGGTGAAATCCACATGGGCGCCTGCACCTCGGAAAAATCAGTCCGTCTTGTGATTGCCTCTTGTAGATTCAAGCCTCGAGAATCCACTGAAACGGCATTCCAGATTTCACCCTCTGCCCTCCACCCAAAGAACATGCTCGGTGAAGGGTAGGGAAACGAGCTCTATACACCGACGTTTTTTCCGACCCTACGCTGAAAATCTCACAAGAACGCGGATTCTGGTGTATACGGGATCCTGGTGCATACATGTTTCGCCGTCTCCCCAAGAAAACGGGGACAAAAGTATACACCACACCACCCCGACGTCGTCCCCGACCCTCAGAAAAGTCCTGGGGTTGAAAAGCAGCCCGCCACTGGTAATGTGTATGCTCTAAGCTCCGAAAGGCTCTGGTAACTCATGGCCGGCGGCACGTGTGCGGCCCCCGGGGGGGTGGGGCAGGGACGCAACGAAGTGAGAATAGGCGCCATGAGATCTGGGGAAACATGATGGCCCCCGCCATGAGATCCCCCCCCCTGGTCATCACCCCCCTCTTTGCCGCCTCCGAACGGGCCACCTGCCAGACCTCAGGAATATTATCGAGCACCCGGAGAAGTGCCGAAAGGATGTCGAGACAGTGTCAGGCGAGTGCTTCCCAGGGCCCGACACGTAAACACCCTTGAGCTTCGGCACTTTCTTTGGCGCTTGAAATTCGTTCTGGCGGTCAAGGCTAAATATAGGCTGGAGCATCATAAGTCGATTGGATTTGGCCCCTTTCTTTGGATTTCGCAAAGCGAATGTCTCCGTTGGATTTGCCCCCTTTCTTTTTGCCCTACCCCTTTCTTTGGTTCACATTTCCTGTTCTTCCTTTCTCTTTATTTCCCTGTTGATTTATTTCCCTATCTTCGAGAATGAACAAAAAAACACGAAACAGGAAAAAAAACGGGAGAACGTGCCGAACGAGAGAAGGTCGGGGAGCATTGCCGGGGGCGAGCGCTTCTCCCGCGGGGGCCCGATGCGCGAAGGCCCTCGCGCTATTCGGACCTCGTCGGGTGCTCGACATCCTCTCGAAAGGGCCGTGGGACACACACGTAAGCAGACACATATAAGAGGCTCCCCAACATGTTCCAATACTTTCTGCGCGTTTCCCCCCCATTCCCCATACTCTCCCATATTTTCCGGGGGATCGACGATGAATTGTGTCTGTGTGATTTTTGCCGTCCTGGATTTTGTCTGGTGCTCGAGGCCAAAGTAGAGTGGAACATCATAAGTCTTACGCGATATGGCACGACGACCTCACGCGGCGCTGTACACGGGCCGCCGTCGCGACACGCCACACTGGAGGCGAAAACGCCCACGCGCCGCCTTACGCGGGCCAGGCGACTCCGCTGTTGCGCCGCTCATGTGTACGCTGGTCGAAAGAAGAAGGCAAATGCACGCGAGGCAGGAGGGCACAGGGGGGTGACTGGGCCCAGGCCCTCCCAGAACGCAACACAAGACACAGCAGAAACATGTCGAGTCTTGAAGCTGGGAGGTGCTTGAAGTAGTCTGGGATATGGGAATCCAGGAATACCTACTTCCAACGACCGACGCGTAGCCCTTCTTCGCGCGGCTCAGCACTCCGATGAGCGCGGCGAAAACGAACTATGCGCCGCGCCGAGGCCGCACTGTCGTTTCAAAGCGAAATCTGCACGAGGCTCGGCCGATGACGACAATTCGTTTGCTCGCGCGGGGGCCCGCTTCCAACGATCCTCAATGCTCGTTCTGGGGACCA